GCCTGACAGAAATGACAGGTTATATAAGATTAGGAATGTGTTTGTGTATCTGAAAGAGAAATTCAGTATGTATTTTTATCCCTTCAGGAAGCTTGTAATTGACGAGTCTTTGATTCTGTTCAAAGGAAGACTCTCTTTCAAGCAGTACATACCAAGCAAGAGGAAACACTTTGGTATAAAGCTGTTTGTGCTTTGTGATTGTTACAGTTGGCTGGTATTGGATATTATTGTGTACACTGGAAGTTATACATTGCAAAATATGAGGAAGTTATTGGGCATCTCTGGTGATGTGGTTAGAACAATGATAGAACCATACCTTGGTAAGGGGCATATATTATATACTGATAACTGGTACACAAGCCCCTCACTCAGTGAATTTTTGCAGTGAACATGACAGAATTTGTGGCACAGTGCATGCAAATCGTAAACATATGCCCAGGTTTGACGCTGGCACTAGTAGAGGTGAGGTGCAGGCATTTGCTGCCAATGACATCATGGCATTTCGGTGGCATGACAAACGAGATGTCACACTGTTGTCATCAGTTCACCCTAACGAAATGACAAACACTGGCAGGCAGCATAGAGAGAGAGCAATGAGCCCATTCTAAAACCTGCAGCTATGATTGATTACACCCTCAAATTGCACTCAGTGGACAAATGTGACATGCAGATTGGGTTTGCTGATTGTGTTCGCAAGAGTTATAAGTGGTACATAAAACTCTTTTTCCATCTTCTGGACATTTCCATGCTCATTGCTTATATGTATAAGATGAGGACCAGAAACAAACCACCATATGGCGAATTCTGTTTGTCATCAGACAAATAGTATTAAAGTACCAAGTAACAACACCTGCAATAGACCGCCCACTGAATTAACTACCTTCTCGTCTGAAGCATGGTGATCACTTTCTAGTAAAACTGCCTGCTACTGCTTTCAAGAAAAAGGCTCAGAAGAGGTGTTACGTCTGTGCACATACAAAAAAAAAAAAACGCTCACAACAACGCAGACACTCGTTTTATGTGTGAGGAGTGTAAAAACACCACTGTGCATGACACTATGTTTCAAAGACTTCCACAGGCTGCAGAACTTCTAGAAACATTCCCTGTGACTGTATATGTGTAAATAAAATATAGAAAAATAGTAATAAACAACATTTTATATCATTTGTGTGTAAACAACAATTATAAACAATATAAGACTCAGCGGATGGGTCTATGAAAGATGAGGTGAATCATAGAATTGATGAGGGGAAAAGGGCGAGTGGTGCACTTAGGAGTTCTGTGGAGACAAAGAACTTTGTCCTTGGAGGCAAAGAGGGGAATGTATGAGAGTATAGTTTTACCAATGCTCTTATATGGGTGTGAAGCATGGGTGATGAATGTTGCAGCGAGGAGAAGGCTGGAGGCAGTGGAGATGTCATGTCTGAGGGCAATGTGTGGTGTGAATATTATGCAGAGAATTCGTAGTTTGGAAGTTAGGAGGAGGTGCGGGATTACCAAAACTGTTGTCCAGAGGGCTGAGGAAGGGTTGTTGAGGTGGTTTGGACATGTAGAGAGAATGGAGCGAAACAGAATGACTTCAAGAGTGTATCAGTCTGTATGGAAGGAAGGCGGGGTTGGGGTCGGCGGCCTAGGAAAGGTTGGAGGGAGGGTGTAAATAAGGTTTTGTGTGCGAGGGGCTTGGACTTCCAGCAGGCATGCATGAGCGTGTTTGATAGGAGTGAATGGAGACAAATGGTTTTTAATACTTGACGTGCTGTTGGAGTGTGAGCAAAGTAACATTTATGAAGGGGTTCAGGGAAACCAGCAGGCCGGACTTGAGTCCTGGAGATGGGAAGTACAGTGCCTGCACTCTGAAGGAGGGGTGTTAATGTTGCAGTTTAAAAACTGTAGTGTAAAGCACCCTTCTGGCAAGACAGTGATGGAGTGAATGATGGTGAAAGTTTTTCTTTTTCAGGCCACCCTGCCTTGGTGGGAATCGCCCAGCATGATAATAAAAAAAAAAATAAGGACAACAGTGTTTGTGCAGTTATTGTGTAGTAAATAAAAAGAAAAAAATTATAAAATAGTGCTCATATTGGTCTCGCAGGCCATAAAAGTTACTTGGAAATAAAAAAATTGAAAAATAATAGAAAATAGTACCTAAAAACAAAAAAGTAATCCCGGGTGACGGCAGTCAGCGATGTTACCATATATGGGGCATTTTCTGTCAACTTCATGCCTCCATATCTTGGCAAGTATTGATGGTAAAAATTTTTTGTTTACCCTATAATGTTTAGAAAAAAAAACTATCTTTTTATAAGAAAAAATCATTTTTTTTTTTTTCGAAAATTTGGCGACCCTGAGAACAAGTCTCTGAGAGGGCCTGGGGACCCTGAAAGAGTTAAAGCAGTCCAGCCCATCGACATACCTAGTTCACCGAGTTTAATAATTTCTAACAACTACCTTTAGATGCCATCATAAATGAAGGGAGAAGTGATGAGAAGTCATGCTGAGAATTATAAACAAAGTCGAATTATAAACAAAGCCAAATGCGTTAAGGGGAGTGACTGGGTCAAAGTCCGATTGGTACACATTTTCTCTGGTACTGGACCAGAGAAAAAAAATTTTTCCCTCCGCCCGGCTACCACACCTCATATTTATGTGAAATTTATCATACTATGGGTATATGTATCTTGTTTATATGATTTTGATTGTTTCACGATAGAAAGTACCTTGAAACCGAGCTCAAGTAGTGGAAATGTTCGATTTTTGCCAATGTTCATTGTAAAAAAATTACAGTGGACCCCCTGGATTAAGACGTCATCGGAATAAGTATTATTCGGAATAAGTAACATTTTTGCATCAAAACATTGGCTCAGTGAACATCGCTGAACTCGGAACTCGGTATAAGTCATTCGTGTTGGGACCTGAGCGGCCCAGTGTGCCATTGTTTACCAGCCAGTGAGGATGATCCCATGCATTCATATGATACATTTTGTATTATTCCATTCTTTTTAGTTCTTGTAACTGCTAAATAGTTTTGAATGATGATGAAAGTATTTTCTTTTTGGGGATTTTCTTTCTTTTTTGGGTCACCCTGCCTCGGTGGGAGACGGCCAACTTGTTAAAAAAAAAAAAAAAAAAAAACTGCTAATTAAGCCACCATGGGCCCAAAGAAAGCTTCTTGTGCCAGCCACGAGAGAGAGGGGGAGAATGAGTCTTTTTCAGCGATTCTGCAATATGTACGATACTAAAGCAGCAGGAATCTAAAAAGGCTATAGCACCAGACAGTGATAAGTGTAGCATTAACAGTGTAGCAAGTAAGTTAAGCGATTAATCGATAGAAAAAGGACAGCACGAAACTTACTCCTCCATTGTTGTTGGAGGTATATAGGGCTACTGACAACACCACTGCCTCTGCTGCTGCCTTCACCACCACTATGTAAGGCTTATCTTTCAGTGGCCCTTATACATCCAACGACAAACAACACACCACTACTCGTGACATTCTTAATACCATATTTTATTCATTCTAGAGAATATATCATGTTTCTATGTTATTAATATTGCTTATTATGTCATATTAGATGAATTGTGCTAGATAAATAAGCCATAAAGCTGATATTAGTGTCATGTTAAAGGACTTTCTTTTCCTGTCTCCCAACACAATTCCTAACATATGCCAGAAACAGACCTCTCTGGAACACTTTTTTTGAGCGACAGGGGTCCAGTGACTCTCAAGCTGGTCCTAGCGGCATTAAAAAAACAAAAGAGAAAGTAACCTAGGATAAGGACTCTGTATCTGAAGTCTTTATGGAAGGGGATTCCCCTTCCAAACAATTGTAAACTCCTCCATCCTCTCCCCTCCTCCCATCTTCCATATATCACCATGTCTTCAATAAAGGTAAGTGTGATGTTATTACTGTTTTATTCTTCATGTATCATTGTTTTCTGTGTAGGTAAATGTATGTTTCATGTAGAAAACATTTTTTTAATATTTTTGGGTGTCTGTAACGGATTAATTGGATTACCATTATTTCTTACGAGGAAAATTAATTCGGAACAAGTCACTCTCTCTGGAATGGATTAATTACGTAACACGTCCAATACACGTCAACTGGCTGGTCTAATATGCTTTCACAAATGCACTGATATTATTTATTCCATTTTTTACAATAATTATAAATGGTCTGCTCTCTTTTGCTAGTGATCTGACTAATCCTGCTGCAAAGGATCTTGCATCGAGGATGGATGAAGATAATGTTGGGGAATGGATGAATGTAGGTGAAGATGCAGCTACTGTACATCATTATACTGACTCAGAAATTGTGCAGATTGTTGTAAATCCACAGCAGTAAGCCAGTGGAGGAGAAAGCAATGATGAAAATGAGGAAGATGTAGCAAAAAGTCTCTATTGATAGGTTAATTCAGTTGACAGGTGAACTGCTAAAAGGTCTAGAGCAATGCAGTTTTTATAAGTGAACAAGAAAAAATGAATATTTACATGCTGCAGGATAATCTAATCAAAGAGAGGCCAAAATATATGAAACAGCCTAGCTTGCAAGATATGTTAAAAAAAATTGCTAAAAAGCATGCAACAGAGGAGTCACCACTTCAAAATCTAGTGCCTTGAACATCTGCTCAGCCTGACGTGCTGCCACTGTCATCATCAGTTCCTGATATCTCAGTTACCTTCCAAGATGAAGAAAATGGCAATCCTGACAGCCCTTCAACTAAAGACACATCAATGTATTTAGTTGTAAATTACAGCTATTCACTTTGGAAGGGGCAGTAATGAACTTTCTTGTGCAAGTCAAGTTAGCCAACTTTATTAAGTGTTTTCTAACCTAACCACTCTGTAAATCGGCAAAATCAGTAATCCTTCACCCTACATGTCCCAATGATGCCCAATTAGTGATGGCCAACCTGTATCAGTACACCTTAAGCTTTTGCCAAGTAAACTAATAACTGAGCCCTAAGTATTTGAGAGAGAATAATACACTTAAAAGTAATCTTACTTCTTGCATTGGGCAGCATCCATATCTGCCACCAGTTATGGGGCAGCAAGTATTTCCATCAGGGCACTGGGTTTGAAAATCTGGGCATAAAATATCAGCAACTTCATCACTGGGTAGTGTTACATCTGAGTTGGGTAGTGTTATGTCTGAGCTTGTTTGCTGAAAATTAAAATAAAATTACATATTTCCAACACAAGATTATAGGCTCAACAAAAAACAAAATACTGAAGCATGAGTGAAAATAATCTCAATGTTGTTTGTGCCAAATTAAAATTGTGCAGTGCTTCATATTTTAAGGTCTCGAAGTAATTACTTTATAACATTTTCTATGTAACTGGAGTAGTGACAGCTGCAAGTGAGAGGGTCATAATGTTAAATTACCACATACTCAAGTATTGTACTGTATAAGTGTAATTTAGGAATTATTAATCAGATACTAAATGATTTCTGAATGAATTACTTTTTACAAGTAATGGGTAAGTATTTATTACACAAGTTAAACTCAAAGAAAACTCACCAAAGATATACTGTACTCACTTTTCCATCTCTGATAGGTGTTGGCAACTTCTCAAGGAAAAGTTGGAGATGATTACGGGAATCTGTTGTCCTTCTCTGACATGTCCCACTAACACAATCATACCCATGAGGACAACAGTGTTGTTTATCAGGGCAGCAAGTTGCCTGTGAAGAAATAATACAATAATCCAAGCGAATATTTGATGTGGTGTTATAAACAATGATCAATGCAAAGTGAGAAATCACTAGGACAAAAATAGGAAGAAAAAGGAAGTATGAGATTTATTTTTTTTTTATTAACACATCAGCCGGTTCCCACCAAGGTAGGGTGGCTCGAAAAAGAAAAACTTTCATCATTCACTCCAACACTGTCTTGCCAGAGAGGTGCTTTACATTACAGTTTATAAAACTAACATTAACACCCCTCCTTCAGAGTGCAGACACTGTACTTCCCATCTCCAGGACTTAAGTCCGGCGTGCTGGTTTCCCTGAATCCCTTCATAAATGTTACTTTGCTCATGCTCCAACAGCACGTCAAGTATTAAAAATCATTTGTCTCCATTAACTCCTATCAAATACGCTCACGCATGCTTGCTGGAAGTCCAAGCTCCTAGCACACAAAACCTTATTTACCCCCTCCATCCAACCTTTCCTAGGCCGACCCCTACCCGGCCCTCCCTCCACTACAGATTTATACACTCTCGAAGTCATTCTGTTTTGTTCCATTCTTTCTACATGTTCAAATCACCTCAACAACCCTTCCTCAGCCCTCTGAACAACAGTTTTGGCAATTCCACACCTCCCCCTAACTTCCAAACTATGAATTCTCTGCATTATATTCACACCACACATTGCCCTCAGACATGACATCTCCAGTGCCTTCAGCATTCTCCTCGGTACAACATTCATCACCCATATAAGAGCGATGGTAAAACTATACTCTCATACATTCCCCTCTTTGCTTCCAAGGACAAAGTTGTTTGTCTCCACAGACTCCTAAGTGCACCGCTCACCCTTTTTCCCTCATCAATTCTATGATTCACCTCATCTTTCATTGACCCATCCGCTGACACGTCCACTCCCAAATATTTGAATACATTCACCTCCTCCATACTCTCTCCCTCCAATCTGATATCCAATCTTTCATCACCTAATCTTTTATTTATCCTCATAACCTTACTCTTTCCTATATTCACTTTTAATTTTCTTTTACATACCCTACCAAATTCATCCACCAACCTCTGCAACTTCTCTTCAGAATCTCCCAAGAGCACAGTGTCATCAGCAAAAAGCAACTGTGACAACTCGTACTTTGTGTGATTCTTTATCTTTTAACTGCACACCTCTTGCCAAAATCCTTGTATTCACTTCTCTTACAACCCCCATCTATAAATATATGGAACAACCACGGTGACATCACACATTCTTGTCTAAGGCCTATTTTTACTGGGAAATAATCTCCCTCTTTCCTGCATACTCTAACTTGAGCCTCACTATTCTTGTAAAAACTCTTCACTGCTTTCAGTAACCTACCTCCTATACCATACACCTGCAACATCTGCCACATTGCTCCCTTATTCACCCTGTCATATGCCTTTTCCAAATCCATAAATGCCACAAAAACCTCTTTAGCCTTATCTACATACTGTTCATCTATACATTTCACTGTAAACACTTGGTCTACACATCCCCTACCTTTCCTAAAGCATCCTTGTTCATCTGCTATCCTTCTCTCCGTCTTACTCTTAACCCTTTCGGGGTTTCAGCCGTACTAGTACGGCTTACGAGCCAGGGTTTTTGACGTACTAGTACGCATAAATTCTAGCGCCCTCAAATCTAGCAAAAGAAAGCTGGTAGGCCTACATATGAAAGAATGGGTCTATGTGGCCAGTGTGCACAGTATAAAAAAAATCCTGCAGCACAGTGTGTAATGAGAAAAAAACTTTGACTGTGTTTTTGGTTTAAAACAGAAATTGAGATGATTTTGATTGGTTTCACAATGAAAAGTACCTTGAAATTGAGCTCAAAATAGCAGAAATGTTTGATTTTTGCCAAAGTTCAAAAGTAAACAAATCATGCCACGCGTCCAATACACGTCAACTGATGAATCTAATATTCTTTCACAAGTGCGCTGGTATTATTTATACCATTTCTACACTAATACAGTAGTCTGCATAAGAGTAAATCTTCTATTTTTTGTGAGAATAATAATTCAGAGTGGAAAGCAAAAGAAATGTAAGAGGGGCGTAGGGATGTGACTAATGAACAGAGGATATGTTATTTTAGTGCCAGGAATGTCTTTCTTGTTTATTCTGGACCCTATTTGGAAATTTGTGTGAAATTGGCAAAAAATGCTAAATTCTGACCACTTTATTGGATAGTTGAAATCAGTAAATGGGTGGTTTCTTGTACTCATTCGATAGAAAAAACGGAGTTCTAGCAAAATAGTTATATTTTTGTAAACTAGTACACTGGAATTGGCTGAAAATAGGGATCAAAGTGGGCAAAATCGCCGATGCGTAAACATCGTCGAGAGCATAATTCCGTAAGTTTTCCATAAAATTTCATAATTTTGGGGTCATTATGATCGGGAAAAGATTCTCTATCTTTTCAAAAGAAAAAATAATTTTTTTTTAAATTTTAGCGACTCTGAGAACAAGTTTCTGAGAGGGCCTGGCGACCCTCAAAGGGTTAATTCTTTCAATAATAACCCTACCATACACTTTATCAGGTATACTCAACAGACTTATCCCCCTATAATTTTTGTACTATCTTTTGTCCCTTTTGCCTTTATAAAAGGAACTATGCACTCTCTCTGCCAATCCCTAGTTACCTTACCCTCTTCCATACATTTATTAAATAATAGCACCAACCACTCCAAAACTATATCCCCACCTGTTTTTAACATTTCTATCTTTATCCCACCAATGCCAGCTGCCTTACCCCCTTTCATTCTACCCACTGCCTCACGAACTTCCCCCACACTCACAACTGGCTCTTCCTCACTCCTACAAGCTGTTATTCCTCATTGCCCTATACACGAAATCACAGCTTCCCTATCTTCATCAACATTTAACAATTCCTCAAAATATTCCCTCCATCTTCCCGATACCTCTAACTCTCCATTTAATAACCCTCCTCTCCTATTTTTAACTGACAAATCCATTTGTACGAGATACCTGTACATTACTGCCTCAGACCCTTTCATCTCTGAGCCCCAAATATACAGATCTCTTAGTTTCTTATTTCTGTCCAAGTAATCTTTCACTTTGCAAAGTAATACACATTTGTCATTTTTAGCCATGAATGCTACATCAACTAACCCTAATATGGAAGGAATTTCTGAAAATATCCTAATATTCCTAATATTGAAGGAATTTCTGAAAGAAATATCCTAATATTGAAGAAATTTATCAAGAAAATATTTATCTTAATAGTCCTAATATGGAAGAAATTTCTGAAAAAATTTATCTTAAAAACTGCTGAAAATTTTGGCCTGCAAGAACCAAGAGAACATTTTGAAGGGATGCATTAAAAATGCCTCTTTCAGAATTTTGCAAAAATTATAACTTTCTGCATTTAAAAAATATCAAATTAGTTTTCTGATTAAATGGTCCAAGACAATACAAGTTGTCAGCTGCCTACCTGGAAGGTGCTCGGGGGAGGGGGGTTAATGCCCCCACAGCCTACAACCCAAATAACCCATTTTTTTCCCCAAGACTTGCTGCCTTGGCACCCAGCCAGCCAACTTAACTGTCCTTCCTGCTTGGCCAGGGATGGGTCCTTCCTCCTTGATCTGCTGGCTACTCACTCACCACAATGCCTCACCAACTACCCTTCCCCATTTCATACCTGTTATCCACTCGCATCATAACTAATAAACCTAAAATTCTTGATAAATCTTTTCCCCCCAAAAAAGGTGAGCTCTTTATATGTACATATAACAAACATTAACAAAGCATGAATGTGTCAGTTATGAAAAAAATAATGTAATTTACATGCTATAATGGGTTCAATAATTGCAAATTCACTATATGCACCATCTGCCAGAAACTAATCTGCTGCATAAAGCAAGGGATACTTGTACCCAATTACAAAGGTGAAAATAAAAAAAATTGTGTAAAGAATGTCTGGGATCATTCTGTCAAGCTCACACAAGGCTGTCAGGAGTGCAAGATTAATTCCAAATTCAGGAGACTTTGTGCATTTTGTTTAGTCAACAGTGGCCGTCTCATGTGTGAAGTTACAAGTACTTCTTACAAAATATAATAATTTACTCAATATGTAAAATTACTTTGACTTACTAGAGGCATGGGGCAGCATCCATAAGCACCACCACCAACTGGACAACAAGTTTCTCCATCATTACAATGGTATCGTCTATTTGGACATACTATGTCGGTTTCATTCAGTATTTCAACAGCTGAATTTTTCTCAAGTTCTGGTACCTCTAGCAGGGTGGCAGTCTGAAGGAAGTGAGCAGGAACTGACCATCTCAAGTTCTTTTGCTGAGAAGAGAAAAGTATGTTGTGTACAATTTCCTGATTATCAAGAGTATATGTACTTATCTCTATTTTGAATGCTTTGGTGCTAATAGGAATGCCCCATTTTTGAAGGACTGGCCATAATTGAGGCATTAAAGGCAAAGCCAGCACTGAAGTTTTACGAAAAATTACAAAACAGTTACATATACCACCTTCATGACACGTACCAGAAAAATTGGTACGTCTGTCATGAAGATGATGTGGCACGAAGATAATGTGGCTGTTATTCACAGACCGGTGGAAGGCTGCCATGAGGCTGTCTGAATTCCATCTCTTAATAAAAATAATATATTAAGAGTAAAATACGTAGTAGGTTGGTAAACAGCAACCACACAGGGAGGTACTACCGTCCTGCCAAGTGAGTGTAAAACAAAAGCCTGTAATTGTTTTACATGATGGTAGGATTGCTGGTGTCTTTGGTCTGTCTCATAAACATGCAAGATTTCAGGTATGTCTTGCTACTTCTACTTACACTTAGGTCACACTACACATACGTTTTTTTTTTTTTTTTTTCAACAAGTTGGCCGTCTCCCACCGAGGCAGGGTGATCCAAAAAAGAAAGAAAATCCCCAAAAAGAAAATGCTTTTATCATCATTCAACACTTTCACCACACTCACACATAATCACTGTTTTTGCAGAGGTGCTCAGAATACAACAGTTTAGAAGCATATATGTATAAAGATACACAACATATCCCTCCAAACTGCCAATATCCCAAACCCCTCCTTTAAAGTGCAGGCATTGTACTTCCCATTTCCAGGACTCAAGTCCGACTATATGAAAATAACCGGTTTCCCTGAATCCCTTCACTAAATATTACCCTGCTCACACTCCAACAGATCGTCAGGTCCCAAGTACCATTCGTCTCCATTCACTCCTATCTAACACGCTCATGCACGCTTGCTGGAAGTCAAAGCCCCTTGCCCACAAAACCTCCTTTACCCCCTCTCTCCAACCCTTTCGAGGACGACCCCTACCTCGCCTTCCTGTCCCTATAGATTTATATGCTTTCCATGTCATTCTACTTTGATCCATTCTCTCTAAATGACCAAACCACTTCAACAACCCCATATATATACACACCCCTCTGGGTTTTCTTCTATTTTCTTTCTAGTTCTTGTTCTTGTTCTTGTTTATTTCTTCTTATCTCCATGGGGAAGTGGAATAGAATTCTTCCTCCGTAAGCCATGCGTGTTGCAAGAGGCAACTAAAATGCCGGGAGCAAGGGGCTAGTAACCCCTTCTCCTGTATATATTACTAAATGTAAAAGGAGAAACTTTCTTTATTCTTTTGGGCCACCCCGCCTCGGTGGGATACGGCCGGTGTGTTGAAAGAAAGATTAAGAGTAAAGAAAATTGTATTTTAAATTTCAAGTTAAAATGGTTTATATGCTAAAATTTGTGTTCTTTATACCTTTGGGTGTGATGAATAAATCTTGGTTGTAATGCAAAGATATGTGATCAGTTCTTTAAAACTTCAATTTCATTTATAGTTCAACAAACCTCAATAAATTTTTAAATGTACTCAGAAGTTGTCCTGGGAAGGGATAAATGTTTTGAGTGCTTGGAGGTGGCTTGGGCATCCAATTGGCTTGTGTGAGTGTATTGGATGTCCAAATGGTTTTTATTATTTGATATGCTGTTGGAGCATGAATAAAGTAACTTTTATGAAGAGATTCAGGAAAACCAGTTAGCCAGACTTGATTCCTGGAGGTGGGAAGTACAGTGCTTGCACTATGAAAGAGGGGTGGGGAAACTGCGAGTGAGAGGGTCATCTGAACTGCCATGTCGGCATCCTTTTGGTAAGAGTGACTGAGTGACTGTTTTCTTTGTTGGGTCACCCTACTTCAGTGGGAGATGGCAGGAGTGTCAAAAAATAAAAACATCACAAATTTTACCATATATTCTGATTACTTACCACATCACAGGTACCAAGGGTGGTATTGCAGGTGGTTCCATGAGGACAACAATGCATTAAATCTGTACAACAAACACCATCAGAATATGGGCAGCATCCAAAGCCTTGACTGATCACTTTACAACAGGTCAACTTGTTAGGGCAAGGGTGACCATCAGGACACTTTCCTCCTGGAACTATTGCTGATTAAAAGAATATACACAAATAAATAAAGAATTTAAAACCTGAAATTGTGATAATTTGATTATCTAGTTAAAAAAATATACACAAATAAATGTAGAATTTCGGGAGCAAGGGGCTAGTAACCCCTTCTGTATAGATAACTAAATTTAAAAAGAAAAACTTTCATTTTTATTTTTAGGTCACCATGCCTCGGTGGGATACAACTGGTTTGATTAAAAAAAATATGAATTTAAACCTGAAATAGTGATAATTTGATTCTCTTAAAAAATTTAATAAGGGAACAGGTTTAACACAGAACAAAGTCCTGTATATTTCTGTTACATTAAGACAAATCAGTAAAGTATCCTCACTACTGCTCTAAGACACAACACAAAGACATATTCCTGTGACCAAAGAGCATTAAAATTTTTACTAAACAGTACCTGCCACATTGTGATGAAATGGTTTTGGTTTAGCTTTGCTCTTCGTTGCTTTTGGAAGCTTTGTCTTCATACTGTATGCATTCATAGTGAAATTCATCTTTTCATGCTGAAATAAATTAAGAAAGGGTTATTAAATTACTTAATGAAAAATAAAATTGTTTTGCTTCTCTCTTTTTCTCCTTGTCATCACCTTTCTTCTCACCATCTTCATTCCTCCTCCCCAATATTATTTTCCTCTGCTCCTATTCCTTCTCTCTTCTCTTCTTTTATCAAACACTAAAAACCCATGTATTTTTGGATAGAGGGAAACTGAGTATTCTAAATTTGTTTCAGTTTACCTAAACATATTTTATTTTCAAAATACACGCTATTCTTACAAAATCTGGAAACATTTTGTTCACACATTTTGAAAAACCGTAGTTTGGCTTAGATTACAAATTGGCCATTATTAAAGCTTTATACTTAAATAATTGCTAGGTAGTAGGTTGGTAGACAGCAGCCGCCCAGGGAGGTACTACCGTCCTGCCAAGTGATTGTAAAATGAAAGCCTGTAATTGTTTTACATGATGGCAGGATTGCTGGTGTTTTTTCTGTCTCATAAACATGCAAGGTTTCAGGTATGTCTTGCTACTTTTACTTACACTTAGGTCACACTACACATACATGTACAAGCATATATATACACACCCCTCTGGGTTTTCTTCTATTTTCTTACTAGTTCTTGTTTATTTCCTCTTATCTCCATGGGGAAGTGGAACAGAATTCTTCCTCCGTAAGCTATGCGTGTTGTAAGAGGCAACTAAAATGCCAGGAGCAAGGGGCTAGTAACCTCTTTTCCTGTATATATTACTAAATGTGAAAGGAGAAACTTTTGTTTTTCCTTTTGGGCCACCCCGCCTCAGTGGGATACAGCCGGTGTGTTGAAAGAAAGAAGACTTAAATAATTTTAGAAAATCAAAAATAAAGTATAAATAGAATGACTTGGAGGGTGTATAAATCTGTAGTGGAGGGGAGGAGGGGTAGGGGTTGTCCTAGGAAAAGATGGAGGGAGGGAGTAAAAGAAGTTTTGTGTGCAAGGGGCTTGGGCATACAGCATGCATGTGTGAGCATTTTAGATAGGAGTGAATGGAGACGAATGGTTTTTGGGACCTGATGAGCTGTTGGAGTGTCAGCAGGGTAATATCTTGTGAAGGGATTCAGGGAAACTGGTTGGCCGGACTCGAATCCTGGAAATGGCTAAAGAGGTCTTTGTGGCATTTATGGATTTGGAAAAGGTGTATGACAGGGTGGATAGGGGGGCAATGTGGCAGATGTTGCAGAGTTTTTACAAGGATAGTGAGGCTCAAGTTAGAGTATGTAGGAAAGAGGGAAATTATTTCCCAGCAAAAGTAGGCCTTAGACAAGGATGTGTGATGTCACCGTGGTTGTTTAATATATTTATAGATGGGGTTGTAAGAGAAGTAAATGCGAGGGTCTTGACAAGAGGCATGGAGTTAAAAGATAAAGAATCACACAAAGTGCTGTTGGAGTGTGAGCAAAGTTAACATTTGATGAAGGGGGATTCGGAAACGGAGGCCGAGACTTGAGTCTGGATGATGGGAGCAAAAAAATTAAAGTGCCGCACTCTGAGGAAGGGGTGTTAATGTTTGCAGTTAAAAAACTGTAGTGTAAAGCACTTTGGACAAGGACAGTGATGAGAGTGAATGAGGTGAAAGTTTTTCTTTTTCGGGCCACCCTGCTGGTGGGACGGCCGGTGTGATGGTAATAAAATAAGTAAAAAAAACAAAGTGGGAGTGTCACAGTGCTCTTGTGATGACACTGTGCTACTTGGGATTCTGAGAGAGTCAGAGATTGGTGAGAATCTTGTAGGAGTATGCAAAGAGGAATTAGAAGTGATACAGAAGAGCAAGTTATGGTAACAAAAGATAGGTGATGAAGATGGATATAGAATGTTGATAGGAGGAGAGTGGAGGAGGTGAATGTATTCAGATTTGGAGGGCGTGTCAGCGGATGGGTCTATGAAAGATAGGTGAATCAAGAATTGATGAGGTTGGAAAAGGGTGAGTGGGATTAGTGTCTGTGGATGACAAAGAACTTTGTCCTTAGAGGCAAGGAAGGGAATGTGAGAGTTAGTTTTCAGCTCTATATGGTGTGAGCATGGGTGATGAATGTGTAGCGAGTCAAGGTGGCATGGCAGTGGAGTGAAGTATGTTGAGGGCATGTGTGGTGTGAATTAAGCAGAGAATTGTAGTTTGGAATTAGAGGAGTGCGGGTTACCAAAATGTTGTCCAGAGGGCTGAGGAAGGGTTGTTGAGGTGGTTTGGACATGTAGAGAGAATGGAGCGAAACAGAACGACTTCAAGAGTGCATCAGTCTGTAGTGGAAGGAAGGCATGGTAGGGGTCAGCCTAGGAAAGGTTGGAGGGAGGGGGTAAAGGAGGTTTTGTGTGCGAGGGGCTTGGACTTCCAGCAGGCATGCGTGAGCGTGTTTGATAGAAGTGAATGGAGACAAATGGTTTTTAATACTTGACGTGCTGTTGGAGCGTGAGCAAAGTAACATTTATGAAGGGGTTCAGGGAAACCGGCAGGCTGGACTTGAGTCCTGGAGATGGGAAGTACAGTGTCTGCACTCTGAAGGAGGGGTATTAATGTTGCAGTTTAAAAACTGTAGTGTAAAGCACCCTTCTGGCAAGACAGTGATGGAGTGAATGATGGTGAAAGTTTTTCTTTTTCGGGCCACCCTGCCTTGGTGGGAATCGGCCAGTGTGATAATAAAATAAATAATGCCTGCACTTTAAAGGAGGGGTTTGGGATATTGGCAGTTTGGAGAGATGTTTAAACTGTTGTATCTGAGCACCTCTGCAAAGACAGTGATTATGTATGAGTGATGGTGAAAGTGTTAAATAATGATGAAAGATTTTTCTTTCTTCATTGGGTCACCCTGTCTCGATGGGAAATAGCCGTGTTAAAAAAAAAATTTAGGCATATTTCATTTTCAAGGGCATACTGTCTCATATTATCTCACCTAGTATGGGGTGATTCATAACTATTTAAATGATATTTATGCAGAGAGTAATTAGGTTAAATCTTTATAACCTGGAAGGAAACTGAAGTGTTATATGATCCTTCTTTCCCTAAAATATGAGTCACTCTGCTTTTATAGGCTATGTGGGGGAACAACAGTATTTTTTGTTCCCACACACAATTCACCCCACCCGATGTTATATGACTATGCATGTATTTATGGCTAGAGTCAGGAAGATAAGCAGCAAAGTGATTCTATTTCCAAATCTTTAAGCTGTGGGAATGAGTTTAAGAACATAATACAGCAAGCAACAAGGAAAGCAATTCTAAGCAATGTTTATCTGTAGCATAAAAAAAAAAAAGTACAGTAATTTAAAATAATTACCAATACGTACATAACAGCCGCCAGTATCAGGATTACAGTGGGAGCCCTTTGGGCAACAGTGGAAACCATCTAAGCAGCACTCGGCACCATCAAATGGACAACAACCATATTTCCCACTGTACATCTTGCAGCAAGTGAAAGTTCCTGGGCAAACATGCTCATCAGGACATTTCCTTTCATCAAGGTTATCTGAAATAAATAAACTTATAAGATACATTAATTCTGGAGTGTTGAAATACTGCAGCTGGAAATTTTGGTTAAAATACAAATGGATACACCGAAATGCACTTAGCTGCGCAATTTTCTTTTGATAATTTTTTCCAAAACTTGTATTTACCACAATGGTCATTTCCCACCAAGATGGGTGACCTAAAGAAGAAAACTCAAGTCGTCATCAATCATTCAAAAGTTGCTCGAAATGCATGTTAATTGCTAACCTAAACTTAACAAGACAGAAAAAAAATATCGACTGGAAAGTTTATAATAAGAACAAAGTTATCATGAGTTTCAGCCAGATCTCCAAATACACAATACCTTGAGGCTGCTCTGCTTCATTAGTCTCTGCTTGGAGGTCCAAAGTTTTACTCTCAGAGTCAACTACTTCGAGGAGCTCTGGCTGCACAGGAACATTCCAGAAAAATTTAACTGGAAATCCATTTTTCAAGCAAGCTTGATGGGTGACATCACACTTCATATCTGTAACAGTGAACATATATATAAAACTCTTGCAAGTGGAACAATATGTAATGTCTAAACAAATTTTACTCATTTTATTCCAAAATTATTGCCCACAGAGACTATTAACCCAGCCCCTTGATGAATGTATAAAGATACAGGGTAAGCTAATGTGCAGTACTCTTTCGATAAATCATCAAATTCCAGTGACTACCATTGCTACTACGAGTAGTGGCGGTACTAATGTGTTCCTACCTTTGTGTGTTTAAGGGGCAATACTTGTGCATATTCATGGCAAATGTGTGCTAAAGGAAGAAACAAACTATGTATGTACCATTTATGCAGTATTGTAAACTACCATTCCCACAGGTATGTAAGATACAGAATGATCATTCAAGAAAAATATCAAACTGTCAAAATGTAAGCAGATTAATTACTTAGTTGAAACTGCCATCACTGAGAAGGTGCCACCTGAATATTAGTGCACAGCACTTAACTACCTGCTGGGTGGCTGGGTAACTTAAAGGAAACACTACCCAAGACCTTAAACCTTTTGCCTTCTCATCAACATTCACTTTAAAAAAAAAAATTCCTTCTTCAGAAGATCAACAAAGTTCTGGAATTATACTTGCAAGGCTGATAATATAAGTTCTCTCAAAAATATATGAAGGAACTGTCAATGGGAAGCATTGAAAATGGCATTCCTGGAATGGTAATTCATTCATGCTTTTTCTCAATAGATTGAAGGTACTAAATGAATGTTGGTCCTCAGCAAATTTTAGCAATAAATCATAGTTTAAGACATTCAATATTAAGTGGGTTCTGCCATCAGTTTTATGATGAACAAGTGGGTTGTTAGTAACATAAAATATACAATAATGCACAAGTTCCAATGAGAACTAACACAATAATAGCCAGAGTGAATTTCGGGAAATCTTTGTAGCATGGGAAAGGGCTCAAGATGGCATTATCTACACCGCCTAACCCAGGGGTGGGGAACCTAAGGCCTTTTGGCCGCATGCGGCCTTCTAGGGCATTATGTGCAGCTTTCTGAATGAATCAGAATTTTGCATAAGAAATCCCTTTTCTTTTTACTGAAAATACATTACCCCTCATGATTTAGTCCTAACCAAACTAATCAAAACTTCTTGAATGCTACCTTATTACATTACAGCTAACTTTAATGCAGCCTTCCAACATAAGGTTCCTCACCCCTGCCTCAACACAATATACAAATATTTCAATGTAAAAAGAAAGCAATTGAGAGAGTGGGCGAGATGTTATCAACAAATTTTGTTCAAAATAAGAAAATGTTTTGGAGTGCGATTAATAACTTGAGGAAGCCTAGGGAACGAATACATTTGATAGTTAAAAATAGGAGAGGAGAGTTACTAAATGGAGAGTTAGAGGTACAGTATCAGGAAGATGGAGGGAATATTTTGAGGAATTGTTAAATGTTGATGAAGATATGGAAGCTGTGATCATGTGTATAGGGCAAGGAGGAATAACATCTTGTAGGAGTGAGGAAGAACCAGTTGTGAGTGTGGGGGAAGTGCATGGGGCAGTGGGTAGAATGAAAGGGGTTAAGGCAGCTGGGACTGAAAGGATATAGATAGATACCTGTATGTTAAAAGCAGGTGGGGATATAGTTTTGGAGTGGTTGGTGCTTTTATTCAATAAATGTATGGAAGAGGTTAAGGTAACTAGGGACTGGCAGAGAGCATGCATAGTTCCTTTGTACAAAGGCAAAGGGGACAAAAGAGAGTGCAAAATTTATAGGGGAATACGTCTGTTGAGTATACCTGGTAAAGTGTGTGGCTGAGTTATTATTGAAAGAATTAAGAGTAAGACGGAGAGTAGGATAGAAGATGAACAAGGAGGCTTTAGGAAAGGCAAGGGGTGTGTAGACCAAGTGTTTACAGTGAAACATATAGGTGAACAGTATGTAAATAAGGGAAAAAGAGGTTTTTGTGGCATTTATGGATTTGGAAAAGGCATATGACAGGGTGGATAGGGGGGCAATGTGGCAGATGTTGCAATTGTATGGAATGGGAGGTTGGTTACTGAAAACAATGAGGAGTTTTTACGAGGATAGTGAGGCTCAGGTTAGAGTATATAGGAGAGAGGGAGTATTTCCCAGTAAAAGTAGGTCTTAGACAAGGATGTGTGATGTCACGATTCACCATGGGTGTTCAATATATTTATAGACGGGGTTGTAAGAGAAGTGAATGCTCAGGTTTTGGCAAGAGGTGTGGGGTTAAAAGATAAAGAATCTAACACAAAGTGGGAGTTGTCACAGTTGATCTTTCCTGATAACACTGTGCTTTTGGGAGATTCTGAAGGGAAGTTGCAGAGGTTGGTGGATGAGTTTGGTAGGGTATGTAAAAGAAGAAAATTAGAAGTGAATATTGGAGAGAGTAAGGTGATGAGGATAACAAAATAATTAGGTGACAAAAGATTGGATATCAGATTGGAGGGAGAGAGTATGGAGGAGGTGAATGTATTCAGATATTTAGGAGTGGACATGTCAGCAGATGGGTCTATGAAAGATGAGGTGAATCACAGAACTGATGAGGGGAAAAAAGTGAATGGTGCACTTAAAGAGTCTGTGGTGACAAAAGAACTTTGTCTATAAGAGCAAAGAGGGGAATGTATGAGAGTATAGTTATACCAATGCTCTTGTAAGGGTGTGAAACATGGATTGTGAATGTTGCAACAGGGAGAAGGCTGGAGGCAGTGAAGATGTCACGTCTGAGGGCAATGTGTGGTGTGAATATAATGCAGAGAATTCATAGTTTGGAATTAGGAGGAGGTGCGGGATTACCAAAACTATTATCCAGAGAACTGAGGAGGGGTTGTTGTGGTGGTTTGGACATACTGAGAGGATGGAACAAAACAGAATGACTTTGAGAGTGTATAAATCTAAAGTGGAGGGAATGCGGGGTAGAGCTCGGACTAGGAAAGGTTGGAGGGAGCGGGTAAAGGAGGTTTTTGTGTGCGAGGAGCATCGACTTCGAGCAAGCATGCAGTGAGCAAGAAAGCTGGATGAATTAGTGACTACAGTGCCTACAGGAAAGTGCTCGAGGAGGCATCAAGCAGGAGCAACTACGCAGGACCTAGGAGCCAAGTAACATACTGAGCCTTTTGTGGTTGTATGTCGGGACTGGGTCTGGCCCTGCAAATGCTGATAGCTGAGGGTCCTAAAGCCCTGCTCTGGAAAGCTGAATATCATTATAGAGCACTCAACACTTAGTTAAGGGGAGTAACTGGAAAGGGACTTTAGCGGTGCCACACACATCAGAGTAGCGCACAGGTACTGTGCATGGATTGCCATACATAGCAGCATAGTGTAGAGAAACTGGGGATAGCCCAAGAAGTCAGACATAGATCTGTTTTACTGTTAAAATTAAGGCAGAATCCCGCAAAATTCGCAGGCGCATGGGATAGGACAAATACACCCAAGCTAGTTAGTTCAGGCACCCACAGGTACTGTGCATGGATTGCCATACACAGCAGCACAGTGAGGGGAAACTAGGAATAGCCCAAGAGGTCAGACAGTGATCTGTTTTACTGCTAAAGAAAGGAAGAAGGCTTGGGAGACAAGGCAGCAAGGCACATACATGCACATGTGAATAAGAGGGCCATAAACCCACACCCTACCCTAGTGGTTACCTCTATTTCCTCCCTCCCCCCTCCTTCCTCCTACACCCTATCACTCTTCCTCTCTCCCTCTCTCTTTCTCTTTTTCTCTCTCTTTTTCTCTCCCTCTCTCTCTCTTTTTCTCTCCCTCTCTCTTTCTCTTTTTTCTCTCCCTCTCTCTTTCTCTTTTTCTCTCCCTCTCTCTTTCTCTTTTTCTCTCCCTCTCTCTTTTCTTTTTTCTCTCCCTCTCTCTTTCTCTATCTCCCTTTCTTTCTCTCTCTCTCTCTTTCTCTCTCTCTCTCTCTCTCTCTCTTTTCTCTCTCTCTTTTTTCTCTCTCTTTCTCTCTCTTTCTTTCTCTCTCTCTTTCTCTCTCCCTCTCTCTCCCACATCATATCCTTCTCCCCTGCCCTCCCTATATCCCCCAGTACCCCCTAAATCTCTCCCTGCTGTTGTCCCCCCCTCCCACCTCATATCCTTCTCTCCCCTGCCCTGCCTTCCCCTCCTTCCCATCCCTACAACACCCAGCTATCACAAACATCCACTCGAGAGCTCACAGGCTTGTTCTGGGGTTCAATGGGTTGCCCAAGAAGGCCGAGAACCAGGGGTCTGGTGGAACCTGGGCGGGAAAATTGGGAGGCAGAGCTCAAAAAAAGGGAGGAAGTCTGGGGAAGGAAACTAGAAGAGCTTGGCAGGAAAATAGAGGTGAGGATAGCTGCATAGAGCAGGAAGTGGGAGCAACAAGCCATAGAAGCAGAAGCTAAGATACAGTGCTTAGAAGAGGAACTGAGAAATCTGAAACAGCTTAAAGAGAAAAATGACAGTACAGACGTAACATCAGGAACTTCTGCATCAGGCACAGACAAGGGGCCTGGAGGGAGCATAGATGCTATACTGCATACAAGGGCCCTACCAGACCCACATGGGGCCAAGGCAAAGATGAAGAGCACACTAGGAACAAATGCGAGTTCTGAAGACAATGAAGAGGCTATGACATATGCAGAGACTCTAACAGACATCTGCAGGGGCCAGAAACAGCTGAGCAGGAAAGACAGTCCACTGAGCAAAGGGACCTCAGCCAGGGAAGGGCATGAATGAATGCTCCAATGGAAGAAACTAAAACACCTCAGAGGACACAATGGAAGACATAGTGGGAGGAGGAAAGGGCGAGATCAGTTCTTGTCTACGGGCTCCAGGAAGTTGAAGGGGAAACTTATGATGAAAGGAAACAGGAGAAAAAAGTGATTGAAGGTATCATGAAAGCAATAAGCGAGGGCAACGTGACCCAAGTGGCAAATTTTCGGAGAATTGGGTGGTTTTTAAGGGGACGGAAATGGCCTCTCAAACTAATTTTCAAGGCAGAATCAACTTGAACCATGATTCT